TTCACCGGGTGTCCTAAACTACGCCAACACTCTCTACTGGGCGCACAAGCAAACGACGCCGACTCGCCAATACGCCCCGCAATCTCAGCCGGCAGCGGCCGCGGGCTTTAGCGCAGTCCGTCACGAGACAACGCACAGCGTAGCCGGTCGGCGGGCCCGCCGCCCACGCCCGGAAGCGTCGACCAGGACGCACCTCCGGCCCACACCTGCGCCTGAGTCGGTCACGCGGCCGGCCAGACACCGAACGGCGTCGCCTAGCTCCTGCAAACAGCGGACGTCGAACGGCTTCAAACAGCGGCTGCAGCAGGGCGTTGCCAGGACGTCAATCGCTAACGAAGTCGCCCATTACTGCATCAGAGAAGGTCGAGCCGCCAGGACGTCCAGGCCAGCGGTGGTCAGCCTGCCCTCCTCCGTGTCGTGGAGCCGCCTCTGGGCTGAAGCCCCCGGCTGACTTCGCTCCGGTCCGGCCAAGCCGGGTCACGCTCCACGACGGGGCGGCGTGCTCAGAAGCCCCCCGCCGCCGGAGGGTGACGACACGCCCCAGTGGTGCCCGCCCCACCAGGACCGTCAGCCCGCACGCCACAACGCTCGGTGGCGCCACCTGTCGCTGACCCCATTCGTCGAGGTAGTGACCTCGCACCACCACACTGCCAACGACTAGCCCCGGAGCGTCCATGCGGTGACGCAATCTCTCCTCCCTTCCAGCTCTGCACTGAGCCATGCAGCCTTACGTCATCCGACAGGCTGGTATGAGTCACACGCATAAATCACCACCGCACCGCCGCTGGACAAACGGCGAGGCCCCGTGCATGTGCGACAACGCCTAACGCCCACGTCAGCCGCCCACCGGTTCTCTTGGCCACCCACAGCCTTGCTGGGCCGGCCTGCCCTGCCCGATCAGGGTTTTCACAGACCGTTCAACTTAACCGCTGCCCCGTCCGAATGCCCACTGCCCGGCTGATCTGCCCATCTCGCACGAGTACCGCCCTCCGCCCTGCCCGAGCCGGCACGGCGTACGCAGAAGACCACGCCTCGGTCGGAAGAACGTCACTTCCGCCGGCACCGAGGGACGGCGTACCGGAACCGGCACTGATGTCGGTCAGCTGGTGCTGACGTCAGCGGTGCTGTCCGCTGACCAGCGGCGGCGCTGACACGGCTGGGGCGCGGTCACTGCGGAGCCCGGCCCGGGGTATATGGGTCACTGGACGATGGCCATGTCATTAGACGCACCCTGGCGTTGTTGTTTGGGGGGAGGATGTTGGTAAATGATCAGGACAGCCGCCGCGACGGCTGATGAGCCAGTAGGATGATGCGGCGGCCATTTTTCGCATCGGGGCATTACGTTACCTAAGCCGTCATTGCCAGCATGACCGTGAGACCATTACTGGCAATGAGCGATCATGGCGCGGGCACTTGGCGGTCGCCACGGCCGTATGGCGGACATGGGGTTAGCGCAAGTTCCGTTAGGGCAAGCAGCAGCATCCGTTAGGGCAAGCGGAGATCCGTTAGGGCAAGCAGCAGGCCATCGGGCAGCACCAGACATCACTGACCACAATCACGGGCACCACTATCAGCAGCACCGATCACCACTCGGCGCCACTGTGCGAACTGGCAGACCCGCGATGCAAAGGGCAAAATGCGCCTCATCTCAGCCATCACATTTTGGACGACTTCGGTTGGTACTGCGCCCGAGGGGGGAGCCCTGGCTGACCAGCGTAAGGGCATCTTGACCCACAAGCCAGACCCCAGAGGTGCTGTCGCGGCGCCAGGCGGGGTCAGGTCAGGGGAAGCAGGACATACCGATGACCCCACGTCCCAGAGACGCCCCGACGTGTCCACGCTTTCCCAGCTCGCGACGACAGCCTCTTTTCGGCGCGTGCAAAATCAACGACGCGAAGCTTGTAACGACAGCCTCGTCTCAACGGACAGCCTCTCGGAGACGGGCGCCACAAGTCCAGGGCTCAGCTCGAGACGAGTCACAGCAAGCGCAATACCAGTCACAGAAAACTCAATACGGGTCACGACAAGCTCAACATGAGTCACAGAAACGCTATTATGAGTCACAGCAAGCAGCCCCCATTGTGGTTTGCCCTGCCCCGTCACACAGCCACAAATGACGCGGTGTGCTCAGTCTCGTGTGGGAGAGCTGTGCTCAAGGTCTCGCGTGAGAGCGCTGTGCTCACGGTCTCGTGTGGGAGCGCTGTGTTCACCGTCTCGCGTGAGAGCGCTGTGTTCACCGTCTCGCGTGAGAGCGCTGTGCCCACCGTCTCGCGTGAGAGCGCTGTGCCCACCGTCTCGCGTGAGAGCGCTGTGCCCACCGTCTCGCGTGAGAGCGCTGTGCCACCGTCTCGCGTGAGAGCGCTGTGCCCACCGTCTCGCGTGAGAGCGCTGTGCCCACCGTCTCGCGTGAGAGCGCTGTGCCTACGGTCTCATGTGAGAGCAGAGCTCGACCGCATTTTGCCGCCTCTTCGAGGCCTTACGTTCGCAGGATCGAGCTAATGCAAGTTAAAGAATGACACCGTTTTTGAGAGGTAATGTGGGGTAATGTGGGGTAACCCGAGGACATCTCAGGCCTCCTAAGATCCTGGTCTTGGACGGGCCTGTAACAACAATCCTTATGTAAGACGACAATGTTGGTAAATCGCGAACAAAAAATACTGAGGCATTTGCAACAAACTCCCTGACATGGCCTTGACCATGACAGATGGCAAGTTCCCCTGATATGGTCTTGAGCATGGCAGGTGACGAAATTTCCCTGGCATGGCTCTGATGGCAAAGCACTGGTCACCACCGACATGGTCCGGTTACTATGCTTCATAACATGACGGGCTAGAACGCAAACCCGAAGCGACTGTCAACAAGTCATGTCATTGCCTTGACTTCTAAGAACATGCGACGTCAACAGCACTTATACCGTTCACGACGTAGTACTTCATATATTGATAACCACGAGACAAGCCTGGCGCGGACAGAGCCCATGGCTGCCTCGTGGGGCGTTCGTCTTCCACATTTTGGGCCGCGTAGCAATTTGCACACGAGGCTACAGGTCAGTCAGCCGACGGGCTGAAAAGTTCCACACGTCAGGTCAAGTGCCAAAGGCTCAAAGCTACGTCAGCCTTTACTCCATGACGACATGCTGCTCGGTTCGCGAGTGCGAAACCGGTCGGGATTACACTGCCCCCTGCAGCGACCAGAGCTGCGGACAGCGGTGGTCCAGTGTCACTCGAACGGGACCGGACACGTTCGTCTCTCCCCGATAAGAGACGCCGGGAGCTTGTGCACCACAACATGTGGACGCGAAATACGTGGAAGCCACCACGAAGCCCGTGAGGTGATGAAGCAAACCGCAGACCAAAGTCTCATGATCGGATGAAGCCTTTCAGAGTACTCAAAACGGGCCAAATCAAGTACGGTGGTGCGTGCAGCAGCGCTAAAATCATCCCAGTGCATGACGTTCTAGCATAGGTTCACTGGCTCCACTCGCTTTCCTTGGCCGAAACGACACGACGGAATAGACTTGTTTCGATAATGGTGTTTTCGAGGTGACCCCCTACCCTCCTCTAAAAGAAAACATTACACGCGAGCGAACATTTCATGTCAGGACGGCAGTCGTTTTCCAAGTACGGTTGTGGTTTTCTATGACAGGACAAGTTGTTTTCTAAGTAGTCATTATTTTCCATGACAACACAGCAGCTATTTTCCAAGCACCGGTCTTGTTTTCAGTGGCAGGGCAACAGCCGTTTTGACACGCAACAGCAATAATCGAGGAATGCCGCTTACCTCAGTCCCACCCCAAAGAACTACTCATCCGGCGTAAATGCACCAGACACGCTTTGACGATCTGGCGTAACCGCACCAGGCACGCTGTGACGATCCAAAACGACGGTGGGCGACGCATCGTCACCTGAGCTCGGTCGTATCAATCTGTACATTTCAGCTGTGCTCCGTCAGCGATCTTATGACGTCACTGGTGTCCGTGCCGGTGGACGCATTTGCCTTCTGCTTGGCGTCGTTTCCCGGCGTCACCTTGCATCCACACACTTGGCAACACTGAAGATTAGAACGCCTCACGGCAGTCAACGTTTTGTGCCGGCTCCGGCGCTGAGTCCGCCATCTCAGCCTTAAATCCGCGTCCAGATCGGCTTATCAGCGCAAGCAAGTCGCGCCAGAAGCTCCTTGGCTTTTCGTTCCCCTTGCGAATCTCGGGCCAGCAAGTCTCTGTGTTTGTTGGCACCGGCCTACGCATTCTGGAAACGCCGCTAGATTTTCGGAAAAGCGACCATAGGCTTTCGAAACAGCACAAGATGAGAAGGGCTCCTATAAAAGCTCCACAACTCAAAATCACATTCGCCCTAGTGCAATGTGTGCACGTGTAGAAATGCGTGACAAAATGGCGGCCTTTCCTGAAGGCCCGCGACCCTTACTCCAGCCAATGGTAATCCACATGCTCACGCCAAGCCGTCGCAGTGAGGTATCGACCGCAGGACAGCCCTCTGACTACAGCCGATTCGTGGATACTGCACACCGGTGATCACCATCATCATCACGCATCATCATCATCATCATCATCATGCATCATGCATCATCATCATGATCATACATGCATCATCCTAACTCCATTGGCGGTCACGGTACGTTTGTTTCGCGTTACATCCCCCATCAGTAGTCGAGCCGCCTTCACAGAGCGTTAGGCCATTCCGATCAACAGGCGCCACCGCGAAGTCCAACAGAGTAATGGTCATGCTTCCATAACCGTCACGGAACTCCACCAGCTCTACCGTTGCCTTTTCTGTGATTACATCCCAAATCCCCAGGCGCACGGAGCCGAGCGGCTGGCTTTTCCCGCGATTCCGCGCACAGGTTACATAATATATTTGCCATGTTATGGTTAATGCCCGGCAAGCTGGATCTGGATCACAATCTGGGGCTGTTATACTGTGCCGGCTGTCGGCTCAGTGCCCGCGATGACGTCAGTGGCTCCCGCCTGGCCGAGTGCTTACTTTCCGAGCGACTCCCGGACGTCGTAGCGGTGGGCGAAGTCCCCGCTCGGATTGTAGTTGAACTCCTCGTCCTTCGGCGACTGCGGCGAGCGCGCCGCCTGCGGCGATTCGGCCGTCGGCCGCGGCGACGGCTTCGAGCCCATCATGAACATGGTGCCGCGCGTCGCGTCGGGGCCACTTGAGGTCAAGGTCACGCGCTTCTGGCCGGACGGGTCTACGAAGACGAGGCGTCGTTGTCGAGCGAGCGGAGTGGGGTCACGGGTCACGGGTCACGGGTCACGGCGCGCCTGCGTGGCCGTAGAAGAAAGCTCCGGAGCGTGTTTCCGCCGCGTGCTTTGTTGCACACTTAACGCCACCACGCCCGCGGGTCACGCTTTCCTCGGCGCCCGCTACCATTCCGGTTACCGCGTCTGGAAAAGCCTCGTTCCGGACCTTCGCGACAATGTGCGACGTATCCATCATTCAACAGGGAATTGAGTGGCTCGAACAGCTACATGTGGGGTCCGCAAAGCGCATGCATTATGCATACCAGTGGCTATTTATCTGCCGAGCATGTTATTGGAAACGTGCCGCAGAGTTTGCCGCGGCCAACGGCGCACAACAGCCCCAGCAACATCCGGAGCTTGTCTGAACGCATGGCGGGATTTCGCGGGATTTAACGGGATTTCGCTAAATCCCGCAAACGAGGCAGCGGAATTTCGCGACTCTATCCGCAACAACAGAGAGCTTCCAGCACGAGCGCGCGGGTGGTTCGAAGCTGATGGGGGGCTGGCCGCGCCGCGTGGTGTCCAGTATCTCCCCCTCCTCCCCCCCGCTGACCTACCCCAAGTGCCGCCTGCTGCGCCTACGCAACTGGCCAGTCTGACGGCTCTCTGGCCATCTCCCTCTCCAGTGCGGTCTGGTCATCCCTCACCAGAGCGGCTGGCGAATGACGGGACGGTGTGCACAGTCGACAGTGTCGGTAGAAAGGCTGGTGCGGTGACGGTGGTGCGGGGAGGGGCATACCCTCCGCCTCTGCCATTTTTTCGTTGAGTTATTCTCCGCTCCACGTTCGCGCGGCGTTCGATTCCTCTGTTCCCCTTGCTGGAGCCCTGGGCGCGCCACTGTTCTACCCCGCGGATTCCCTGAGAGCGCCACTGCACCAGGGCCGATGCAGCGCAGCGTGACGTGTCCAGTTATGCGACCCATTCCGCTCGCTCCGACGTGAATCACAGGATGGCGGGGTACGGGGTAGGGGCGACGGCAGCGGCGACGGCAGGGGCGGTGGTGAGGGCCAACACCGAACCCACAGCAGGCGGACAATCTGATGGGGCGGGGGAGCGGTTGAGAAGAGTCAGCTAGCGTCGTCGCGACTTGCTTTACTCCATGCATAGCTAATGAGATAACATTAGCCTTTCCAGAAGCTGGAAACAGCTGGCACTCGCTCCCCCGAATCCCATGCTCCTGATGCGCTATTAAAGATCGGAAAGCGGCCTCCGACGACGTTCCTGCCCATAAGCGACGCAAAAACGCCGACAGCGGCGGGTTTGTCCTCACGGATGGCCTGGGTTGTCCACGGCACCCCCGGGAGACGATCACGAGGCCATCCAGCAGAAGCGGAGAAAAACCACCGGACCTAGATGTCGCGAACTTCTTCAGGATCCAGTAGCTAACCAGACATGCGTCACCATCGCCAGCAGCTGCGTCGTCGTCGCCGTCCAATGGACTCCGAACACCCGAGGTCGTGCCGGAAGGCCTCCTTCGGGCGGAGCTCTTTCCACATCTAGCAGTCCGAAGTAATTCGAAAAATCCTGCCGTCTGGCAAAGTGCACTCAAATATGCGGTGACAGGAGCCAGTACGAAATCCTCGGACTTCAAAACTGTCGGTGACGAAGCCGACCGCTTGGGATGCTGGTCCCGTGGCATCCGCCGCCATATGTCTTGCCTCGTCAAGCTGCCGGACTGATCACATGGCCTGCCTCGTCCTGGGACATACTGCGTCCCGGCATATAGTCCTTCAAACGACCGTGTCCCGTTCTTAGACTGCGCCCAAAGGGGGGGGGGGGGGTGAGCCTATCAGGGCATTGCTGAGCTGTGTCACCTCATCACCCACAGCTACCTCCATCCCAGACATCATGTGTTGTTCATCATAACTACTCGAGCCGTGTGTCCATGATAAAAGGACAACTGCAACTACCATAATAAATACATATACAGATATAATATACACATATGTATAAACAAATCAGTAGATAGATATCTAGGTATGACATATATATATATATATATATATATATATATATATATATATATATATATATATGTTACATAAATAACTGACACAAACAAAACTACAAACACCGGTGGGAGTCTGAGGGGGTCGCAAACCCAGCAGCTTCTGAGCAGATTCAGTCAGGCTAAGCCCACATCAAATAACATCAAAGCGGACGGGAGCCCAGTGAACCGTGTGTCCGCCGCAGTGACCTTTCCCGCATGTTTACGTCCCCGACCGCCCTGCAGCTATCAGTGAGCTGTCGGCGCTCAACCTCGCTCGCGCAGCGGCCGCCGCTCTCAGCGGCCATCCGCAGTGGCGTCCGGTTGCACCCCTGCGACCTAAGGACGGGGCATAGGAACAAAGAACAAGGAACATATGCACTGACTTCGGCAACATAACCACGGAGCATGGCCTATGAACCGGCTTGTGCCTCGCACGGGCTTGGCGACGCCGGTGGCAGATCTCTAGCTGCACCTGAGCGCGAGTGCGACACGCAGACTCGGGCGCGTGGTACCTCGAGACGGAGACGCCCCTCCCCGCCCACGCCAAGGTCGTTAGCCGCGGCCGCATAGCCGCCACGCGCACGCCCGCCCACGGCGGCGCACAAAATGCGTTGGGACGAGGGAGCGACCTTGAGGAACGCCTCATCAGAACCGAGGTCGAGTCGAGTCGGGCCGAGCAAAGCCTCAGCATCTACCGGCAGGTTTGGAAATAATGAGGTGTCCTCATGCCTTACACTCAGGGTGATTAACACGCGCTCGGGTGGGGGGTCAATTTAACGACACCTCGACAGTTTCCTCCGGAATGGTTTCCGAACGAAGCGGCGTGATTATGCCAAATCTTGCATGACTGTAGAAAATTGTATAGCATATCGGCTGGTACCAAAAACTTTGATGTACCTTGTAAGGTCGCTGACCTACGGCAGGTCCAAGTCAGGCCTATAGATTCGGCGAACAGCTTGTACGGAATCGTTAAGTTTGATGCAAAAACGCAGTGTTAGACGAATTCATACATTTGTAGGATAATTTCTTAGGTAATACAAAAATTAACCAAAAACAAATTCCATCGACCTAGGGTCAGGTACGAGAATCAGACCATGGTCAAAACTAATCTGTTTTATTGCTGTGGAGCTTGCTGTATGAGGTAGATTCTGGCGCTCATTTCGAGTTTCTTGATAACATTTTACACATATTCATTATAATATATCATATATCTTCCTGAAATATATCATATATGATATCAAATATATACCTTCATTATGTATCTCAAACATCTTCATAAAATATTATACATCATTATATATTATACATCTTCCATGGGCTTCTTATAAATTTTTGGCGTTTATTCAAATGCAAAATTCAAAGCAGTCTCGTGCGATTTTGGGCACCGTCACATGCTAAGGGTCGTCCCACAAGGTCACTGACCTTAAATGAGCACCAATGAACTTTTGCTTAGCACATGTATCTGTTCTTTTGTTTGACCTTATTCGACCCAGGGGTCAAGACTTAGGAGCCCCAAGTTTTGATAAGAGTGACTTTACATAGAGGCCAACACACCGTGAATCTGGCGTATCTCGCTCTCTTAGTTACTAAGATTTTAGGGGAAGGGTCGAATTGACCCCCACCCGAGCGCACAATATTCGACTGGCACAGTTCTGTGCTCAAGACAGGCCTAATAAAAACTCAACTTTTGCCAAGCAAAATATTTGCATTCGACGCAGTTCTGGAATTTGCTCAACACGTTCTTCTGAGGTTGAGGCAGATGAAATCTGAAAAAATGGCCGATCGCGGAGGTTGGCGGAGAACTGGAAGGGGGACCAATCGCAGAGCTGCAGCAGAGCGGGAGATGCAATGATGTAATGCAAGATGTGACCCCGTAGATGTAACGACGCGGAGAGCTGCTCGGGAGCCGCCGGAGTCCTATCCGCCGCGCCTGTTACAGCGCCGAAACCGAAGGACGGACCGTGCGAACGCACGGCCGCGCAGGAAGGACTCGACCACGCCGCACCTGACCTTGAGTCTGCCATCCCCACGCTGATCTTGGACGACCCGAGCGCAGGCCAAAGACCAGCGGGGTCCGGAGCAGAGTTCGTTCCTGCATTCCTGAGGGGACACCCGTCGATTTGCTCCGCGTTTGTGCGAATGAGTGCCGCTGCCGATCTCACCCCCAGCGGAGGGGAGAATCGCGCAGCCACAAGGGTCAACGATAGCACCACCCAGCAGTGCTCACTCTTACTACTGGATGGGGAGTGCGGCGACGCAATATTCGGACAAGGTCTGCAATCGCAGAAAATCGGTTGTATACAGCAACAGTCATGCACGAACGACGCAGCGGCTGGGCGGTAGCCCATGAAAGGTCATCGCAAATGTTGATGTTTCTTGCCAATCTACCAAAATTACCCATTAAAATCAGAGAGCGTCAGCCAAAACCCGATCAATCTCCTTCTGGACTGCGGGGCACTGATGCCATGCATCAGATTTCGAAACGCATCAGACGTAACAACAACAGGGAGCGCGGAACCTTAGTACCAGCACCAGCGATAAAGCACACAGCCGCGACTGCCAGCGGACAGCCCCTCAGTACCCGACTGTCACGTGCGCATCACGTGAGTCACGGCCCGCCAATCAGTGGATCAATCCGGCTTCGATTACACGAGCCGTCCGAGGCGCACGCGGCCCGGCCAAGTCGCGCGCCACGAGCCATTATCCGGGTTAGGTCACGCGCATCGCTCGGTCCCGGACGTCGAAGGCCTTGCAGAGATCCACAAAACCCGGCCCGCGCAGCGAACCATGCTTCACGAATGCGAAACGAATCACGACCAGACAACTAAACGTAACGAGGAGACGACGATCGACCAGCGCGCCGTCTGGGCGACCTGCGGGGGCCCGAGGAGCGCCAGAAGAGCACGCGCTGCACGCGACAGCCGCGTCAGCAGAGGGAGCCACCACAGGGGTCGGAGGGAGTCACTCATCGCACCCATCCCTGCCTTCGCCGTCGCTGGACAGGATCGGAAGCGGATCGCCGAGGGGTCCGTTTTCGCGGTTCGCGATCACACTTCACGACTCGCGATCACGAATCACGGCTCGCAGCTCACCGTCCACGGATCACGGTTCGCCGATCACGGATCACGGCCGACGCCACGGCCTGTCAGCAGCGCACTTTACCCAGCAGAGGTCTGGCGCGGTGTGTTTATCGGTGGGACCGGTTCCAGTGTCCAGTGCCGGCAGGGGCGGCGTCAGGCGCGCCAGGGCGCGGCGTCGAGCGCTGAAGAGAAGGCGGCTCCAAGGCCCGCGCGGGCAGAGGCGGCTCCAGGGCCCACGCCGAGCAAATGCGGCCTGGTCACAATGAACCACAGGTGGCGTCGGAAGGTGGACGGGGACGGAAGCAGGGCATGCAAAGGAGAGGGGGAAGCTCGAAGCATGATAAGCATAATACAGGTCGGTCGACGGGGGCCGACTTCCAAATGTTGAGATGTGATGGTAAAAGTATTCCTTTATCGACCGAACATCACGCAAAAATCACGCGATTACGGCAACGTATCATTTTCTTACAACAGTATACATACAAGGTGCGTACACTCCAGCACCTCCATCATCGGGGCAGTGATGGCACAAACGCCCCGACGGCCGCCCCCCGAGGCTTTCTCCTGAGTCCGCCTCTGCACACAAGGCCAGCGGACGGGGCGTGCCTGACGGTGCAACTGTGAGGCCCTTGTGGCAGTCGCCGGAGTGCGTTTGCCGCGCCTGTCGACTGCACCGTTTCCTCCGTCTCGACTTGCTTGCAATCACCGCGATGTTGATACCAAACATAATCCGATTGGCGTTGGGAAATTAGCATATTATATTGTTAAAATGAGATAAAGGCACACCTTGCAGTCCTCATAAGAAGTACATACACATTAAAGTGTGTGTAATTTCATCATGGTGTCACTTCTATAATGACTTCCACTTACGCCCTTAAGAAAATGATGCCTGCAACGCCTGCATGTTGCCTCGCTGTTTATCAGATGTTCCATCTGAAACAGCTCGGCGATTCCTTACCAGGATCCTACACTTTGTCTTATTGTCACATGCAGTGCATAGCTTTTCACCGTTAAACCGTGAAGACGAATCCACTTGACGAAATTGTGCATTCTAGCCATGGTATCGTTTTTAAGGTTAGCTGGCACGTATACATGCCTTGTATTGGCATATTGCATATTTATACACATATATGTATTACTTGTATTATTATTAGTATACGTATACACAAATATGTTTGCATATATTTATGCGGTTAATTTGCATATGGTAGGTTTGTGGTATTCATTCCACTCATTCCTTTCACAACGTGGATATGTGCGTAGACACATGGTGTCTTCGTTGTACGTAATATATATATATATATATATATATATATATATATATATATATATATATAACCACTAGCTTTTTACCCATGTGAATGACCATACGAATAACTAACATTTAATTGAAATACATATTTCAATTCATGGCAAGCAACACTATTTTTCAACATGCCAAACGCCAGCAATGAAGGCGAATAACTACTTTTCTCTGGAAATGATTATCCACTAGCAGTGACAAGAAATCGAATCACAATGTGCACCACTGCTAACAAGCCATGCCATCATGTGTGTATGTGATGATGGACATAAAATAACCATGATCTCTCTCTCTCTCTCTCTCTCTCTCTCTCTCTCTCTCTCTCTCTCTCTCCTCTCTCTCTCTCCTCTCTCTCTCTCTCTCCTCTCTCTCTCCCTCTCTCTCTCCTCTATCTCTCTCTCTCTATCTCTCCTCTCTCTCTCTCTCTCTCTCTCCTCTCTCTCTCTCTCCTCTTCTCTCTCTCTCTTCTCTCTCTCTCTCTCTCTCCTCTCTCTCTCTCTCTCTCTCTCTCTCTCTCTCAAAGTTTTGTAATTACCTTATAAACAGCCCTTTCATCTTAACAGGAATATCAGGCAGCCTTGATTGAGTTGCCTTACGGCTGTGTCCATAAGCCCATCACCAAATTTCAGCAAATTGCTAGGGAATATAGAAAACTGTTCCCTTTAGTTCCTGCAACCTACATAAGAGCATTTTAGATTAACCTCAACTTATTTGATGACAGTGAGAACGACCTGTTCCAATTAACTTCACATCCTTCATTTGATGCCACTCAAATCAAGGCGCTCGCTGCCTACACAAATGGGTCTTCCATGGCCCATGTCCTCAAATTGGCGGGCACGGCTAAATGCCAAGCCGGGCAATCCCCTCCCCACCCCCTCCCAACACTGTAACTACACGCCTTTATATTGAGGTCATGTGAAAAAATGACATCCATACACATGGTCTACAGTTCAGCACTGACTTCCAATCAGCACCCGTTCAATCTGTGTTCATAGGTGTGCATGGTGCACCATGGTCTTGTTTATCCTTGGTGGTACTTGTTTATACCTATCCTTGGTAAACTTGTTTATAAGTTTATCAAAGGCACCATAAATGGCGCAAATTTTGGTGGTTGTTCCACCAAAGTGCACAGTGCATAAATCAAACGCTACACCCCTCACCCATCCAGTGTTTCACGCAAATCTGTGTCTCTTTTGCGCGGGTCTGCTCAGTCCAGCTCAGCTCCAGCGCCGCTAAACCAAAATTTTGCCACCGAATCGGCATCCTCAATTCACGTTTTGTTGACGTGCAAAAACTTATGTGAATCATTAGTGCCGGGACGTCAAAAGGTTAGGTTACATTTGACCTAGCCTAAAATTGTCTGAGTCATAGGAAAACATATATAAGATATCGTTCCATATGCCTATGAACTTCATCCGCGCTTGCTGACGGGCGTAATCGAGTGCCGCGTCTGGGAATGTAATCGACAACCCGTTTCCGGCGAGGATGAAACTATCGGGAGCTGATCTGGCGCTCGTGTTACGATCCTGATTTGTTTGTTTTTGTTGTTTGGGCAATCTTGAACATATCACCCTGGCCTGAGCGTGGCTTGAGATCGGTGGGTTGCGAACGAATCAAGGCACGTTAGAACTGGACCGATGCGTCTGATCAGAGTGGCATTTGAGGTTATGGTGCATTTGGACTGGTTACAATTGGCTCCAAATAATTAACACTCTTGTCACTACCTTGAGGTGTTCTTGTATCCCTATGACCGTGTGGTGTAATAGAACATTCAAATGACGTTGAATATGCTATTAACATGTAGACTGTGGCTTTCAGTCTCATTGCATGCCGATGGGATCTGCCAATGCCTGCTGCATTATCATCAAATGTTGTTCAGGAGTAGTATGTTTTTGTATCTGCGCTTATAATACATGTTCTGTAAGCATGTAGCTCATTTCAATTCATCATGAACTAAAAAAAGATGTATTTGTGTCTCAGAATTGTATTGCGATCCACCGTCCAAGTCAGCTCAATACAGACAGAAGGAGTGATGCGGGATGCACGGCGTGACAGTTGCAGGAGGCCGGCATAATCGTCTTCATTCCTCATAGATGATATTTTGCAGGATGCAGGATATGATGAAGGATGGGCCTTGGTTCTTCTGTTGGGTCACCTGAAATATAAAGTCAAATTGTAGCCATTGAATGCATCGGATAATGCAAACGTTGTCCATATCCAATGCGGGCAATGTAACCCGTATGCCAAATGCTTTGTTAAGTTCTGTGTCATTGGGCCTTAACGACGTACTCCGCTGCTGAAGCCATGTGGCGTCGCCTGCCTCTCACCCTGGCAGGAAGGGCAGGCACCGCGGGGAATCGAACCCCGTACCTCTGGTTTCCAGACGCGCAGCGGTTAACGCAAACGCGTCAACCACTACACTACCGGTACTGAATGGCAGTTAATGGTGCTTCCATAAAATTGTTTATTGGTTTGACCGGTGTTGTTGTGGAGAGGATGAAGGAAAGAACATTGTGAGGGTACATAAAAAGAAAAGGAAAGGCGTCATTTTCCACTCCGATGTCTGAACAATTTAACACTATGACACTGAACGAGCACGTGGCCAACCGATATTCGGTGATCGCAGCTAGAACACGTTGGTGGTTGAGCTCCAGCTAGACGATAATTATGGGTTCCGCAGGTATGGGGTATATGGAGGGGACAAACACTGACTTCCTTCTCCCTGCTTTTCCGGTGGGAAGATGTTCACCCATCCACTGTATTTTGCACTGATCTGAGTCTGTTTCGGTGTCTGCGCTCGCCTAATCCCGGGACTTTGGTCATTTTTCGTCAAGATGAGCAGACGGAAACTACTTAAAGTCACAGTATGGTGTCCTACCTGAGCATGACCGAATATTGGCTGCACCCTCTTTAGCAGCAGTGTCCGCCCTCTCATTTCTCGCCCGCCCGCTGTACCCGGGCACCCAAGCAAAGACCATTTGCTTTCCGTCGTTAACGTGAGAAACGGTGGGCGTAAGACTTGGTCGATCATGGCGGCACCTCCCTCTGTATTCCTCTTCGTACCCCCAACGTCTCTCTGATAGCACAAAGCTCAGCGGTGGATACTGAGCAGTGCTGGGACAAAGCAAGACGCTTTGTGCGGTCACCAGAGACAATACAGCATCCAGTGCCGTCATTAGATTTGGAGCCACCTGTATATATGAGCACGCACGTCTAGTACTCGGTATTCACCCGACACAGTAACTCTGAACGGAACTCATCACCGGTCGCGTATCTTTTCCAACGCCACATGTCAAAGTCAGAGGCAGGGGCCATCAGCTCCCAAGGTGGGCACGCTAGACATCTGAGTATGACGTCATTATTTGTCCTTACGTCCACGTCCTGAGGAATTCTGCTCATTCACACGCATATGGGTGTCGCAGAACTAATTCTACGTGATGCCAACAGCTGACTGAGGTTTTCGGAGAAATACCCTGATAAGCCGGCTGTGTTCGAGACTGAGCGATCCCTTACCTGGCTATCCTCCCCATCCCCTCCCCCACCCCCCCACCCATGGTCAGGGGTCAGAGTCTTCGCAACACACTGCGGTCGGCAACGACCGCGGTCGTAGTCACCGCGGTAAAATACGCGGTCAAAGTCATCGATACCACAACTAAGCATGTATGACGTTGCACCCGATGTGCTGCACATCGCAGCCCAACATGTAGAACACTGCTGCATGTTACACCATATATAGCAATACAGCAACGCAGCATTGGTAACCAATGCATGGCAAAAGTCGATTGCATTCACCAACCGAGTGCGTTCAA